CATAAATACATCACGCCTATTCTATCTCGCAGGATGTTGTCACAATTCAAATGGCTGTTGCAGTCACGTATAATTTTTCGCTTTGTTCGTTGCTGTTGCCATCCGTGTCCCAATTTGTTTTTTCCATGCACCCAATGGCAAAGTCACAAAGCGTTGAAATTCGATGCGATTCGCTTATTTTTCTTTCAACTCACAGTGTGTGTGTGTGTGTGTGTGCTTGTGTCTTTTCGTTATTTTCAAGATTTCGCGGAAAGTTGCTCGTATTTTGGTCCGCAAAACCGCTGGCCTCATCTCTCAAAAAATCCATCAAGTAACGGTTTTCTTCTCGCCGTTTTTCTTTTTGGAATCGTTCAAATTTCACTGGAAAAGTGCTATTTTTTGTGTGCAATATTGTAGCATTTTTTTCCCATTCCATTCCAACCGTAACCATTGTATTTCCTCTACATTCAGTCGGTCACCGGTTTATTCTCACTGTTTCTGTTTCTTTCCTTTTCGACCGGAAACTGACGACGTCAACGTCTTTATAAATTCACAGCACACAATCATTGCACAATTGAAACAATCTCATCACATGAATATGCATGTTTTCATATTTCTCCAGCAACTCTCTCAACTTGGTTGGTTAACGCTACAACTCGCTTTCGGGTGTGATTCGTGCTGCTGCTACTGCTGCTGTGTATAAATAATTCGTGTCGTACTGGGAGAATATTAACGAAACAAAGGGACGGCGAGTGCATAAATTTATGACAAAGTCTGCAAATCTATTCTTTCTCCAAATCGGATGTAAGAACGAACTGAACACAATTTTTTTTTCTCCAAAAGTTATTATAATCTGACGATAAAGAAAAAAATAGTTCTTTTTTGCTTCAGAAACGAGAAATGGAACTTTCATCGTTGGTTTGTGGTGCAGAAATGAATATAAAGTGTTCCGGAAATATGATTATAACGTATTAAAGACCGATTTCGATGGCCACAAACAACCAAGCTCCAGTTTCGTTTTAAACATGATTCTCCAACGAGATGAAAGAGGTTTGAACAAATTTAACGTGCTGCATGCAATTTTCTGCCCTTGACAGGCCGAAATGGGCGCGTCTAACCTTAATTTTTAGTGGAAATGAAGCGAAGAAAGAAGAAATGATTTGTTCGAAATAGCTAATCGCCAATAACCAAATTGAATCTTTTGTGTAACTTTTCACCAATGTTTCGAGTGTTTAGCTTGATTTGTTCGCAACTCCTTGATAATTTCAAGTTTGGTTTTGTATCTGTATTGCGGTATAGTTAACAGCTCGTGTACGGATTTTGCAAGGAGTGTGAACTTTTCGTTTGAAATCATGATAAGACTTTATTCACTTTTTCTTTGAAAAGGTGAAACCGAAGCATAGGTAGGGAAGGTAAATTTAGAAAAAAAGCAATGAATACGTACACATACATTTTCTGGATGTTAAGCGAGAGAAAACGAAAATTGAATCAAAACATTATTCATTTAATTTCGGCGGGTTGTAGGAGAGGGAGTGAGCTCGATGTGAATGGAAAAAAACGCGAATACGTTCGCAGTTGTTTTTGTGTGCTTAAACTTTTAATATGATTCAATTTTTACCCTTGTTTGATGTTATTTTGTGCTGTACGTTGCCATTTTTCAGAGTGCTGTGTCGCATGCTGCCATCCAAATTCACTCGCTATAATGCCTGCAGTCGTTTTTTTCGCTCTTTTTTTTTTAAAAAAACCAATATCCAAATCAACATCGGAATTAAAATCAATTTGAAGATGCACTGAGAGATAGAGTCTATCTAAAAATCATCGAAAGAAAATTTACGCACTTCAAATAAGCCAGCGATTGAACGAGATTGGAATAAAACCAAATCAAACGATGCTTCACTTCCTGCAATGCCATTTGTATTCATCGTGCTTATTCTCCGCTGCATGCACATGCAAACATTGAGTCGTGCTTTTTATTCTACTCTACCCATTCAATATTTCTATGCAGATCAATATCCATCACTGTCTCTCTTTTTCTCTGTTTAACACGCAAAATACAAACGTGTCTGTGGTAAATATTTCATTCGCTGGGTTTTTTTTATGGACGGCTATTATATTAGAACATTTCATTTGTCACAATAAACTCGTAGTACTCACAGAGCTATCTGTCGCTCTCGCCCTCGCTCGCTCTGTCTGTGAATGCGTGTATGTGCTGCAATTGTATGTTTGCATAAAAATGTTTACGTAGCGAAAGACAAATGCGGTAGCCAAAACGACAAACTTTTTATTTTCCAACATCTAAAGAAAACAAATTGAAAAGGACCATCATTTTGATATGATCGTTTCGGCTAAATGTGATGAAGTCGTTTGCTGAATGTCCCACACGCTTTTTATTCTGGGTCTTCTTGTTTTTGTTTTAAATGAGCATTCACCAATCAATTCAATCATATTCGCCGGCCAATCGGTCGGTATCTACCATAATTTATGTAGTTTATATTGCGTAAACTTATTTTGGGTCTGTGGTCGCATTTTGAGCAAATGTGTTGTTGATTTGGTTTCATTGTGCGAACACTCTTGAGAATGGCCAAAAGCGTTTCGCATATACAGACACACGCTCACACACAAAAAGATACAAAGCAAAACAAAACCACTTTGTCGCATACACACAGACACAAACACACTCTCCTCAATTTTATGGTCGTGAGAATCGATCAGAGAATGATACTTATGACATCGACAAAGCTTCGGTAGGTGATTTACAATCATTGTTTGTGGTGGCTGCGATTTTTCACCCATTCCTCAACCATTTTCAAACATAATAAACGTGGCAAAAATGAAGCGAATGCATTGAATTCGCTGGTGTCAGCTCGAAGCCCTTCCACGCATACCGAAACAAATGGCTCGATTCGCTTTGGCTCCGCTCTGGGAGAGAGAGAGAGAGTCAGCGACACAGGGCAGCTACAGAGAAAAAAAGCACACACAGAGAGAGAATGAGAGATGGGACGTGATTCCGTTTACAAAGTGTATCGTCACATCCGGACCAAATATTCCGAAAGTAGTCGAGTCATATCATCGTAATCAATGCCAAATGCAAAGCACAAGCACCACAAACAATGTTCACACGCCCAAAAGTACACTACATACACTCTACACACATGTCCATATCAATTTCAATTTAGCCGCTTAGACCATCAGTGCGTGTGGATGTGTGTTTGTACGCATTTTGCTCGGATTGGATCAGTAGAAGAAGAAGAAGAATTAGTAGTGGCAGGAAAAAAAATTCTTTGAATGATGAATGTTTTTGTGATTCTTTTTTTCCTATCTTTTGCTCTGTTCTCTCTTGTGTGCTCTGTACTCTCGCTGTCTATTTTTCTATTATGCAATTCATTCCCGGGATATTTTTTTTCCTTATTCCACATCCGACTTGTCCATCTTTTTTTTGCCGCCGCTGCTGCTGTTGCTACTGCTCTCACACTCTCTCCACATTCGCTGCTGATCTTCAGATCATATTTTCATTTTGATTTCATTTTTCTTGATTCATATGGATGAGACGCACTCTTGCTAAATTAAAAGAGCTCCTGATGGTGGTGCATGACATGAAAAACACACTTGAAATATGTTGGATCCGAAAAGTAAAAATAGAATGGAATGGATCCAAAATGAAATACGATACGATGTGATGCGACAAACATGGTTGTTTTAAAGTGAACATGCCGACAAGAAATTTTCGCTTTCTTCTTCTGTTTTTTTTTTGGCAAGTAAGAGCCGTAGTAACGCGCACTCATCTCATGTCAAGTGATAGACCGAAACTAATGCGCTCGTAATCTAAATCAATGAAATTAGGTTGATCTTTTTTGTTGTCCTCGTCGTCGCCATCATTGCCATTCTTCTACTTCCTCTTCTTCATCTTTCATATAAAAATCTTAATTGCTATGGATACCTGAAACATTTTTATTTGTCCAAAAGTACTGCCTTCGTAGTACTTTACATTTTTCAAAGTCATTAAATGCGATCCAATGATCTAGCTGTGATTGGAATTCGTCAAAACCTGTGTCGATACACAAAACATTCGGAATATTATCATGACAAGTGCCAAGTTGGAATCACAATATGAGTTTTTTTTTGTTCCCGAATGGGACGTAGAAGTTTGAGACGTTGAGAAACGTGTAGTTGATTTATTTGGTTCGCCGTTGAAGTTCGTGTTTGTGGGAAAAATTTCGGTATCGAAATGGGAAAATCCCGTAATGTGTGCGTGTGTGAGTGTGTGAAATCAAGCCGTCATCATCCATGCAATCGGGAGCAGCGTTGGGCTCGAACTGACTGATGCATGCAGTATGATGAACATATAAATATGTGCGTTGAGAAATCGTAAGAGAAAGCGTTGGCAAGCATCGAGGGGAGAAGAGGATGCGAGCGAGTGAGCGAGCGAGCGGGTGAGCGCAACGAAAGAAATCCGATTGAGCATGGGATGGATGTAAGAGAGCGGCATGCGAATACCAAGCGGTTGCCAAATGAAAATGGTACATTAGAGCATGAAGTGCCCTATCGCCACTTACATGACGAAACAACGATACTCGCTGTGTGTGTGTGCTGTGAACGCGCAAAGGGACGGTTGATATTCACGAAAAACCATCCAAAATCATTTTGCCCGAGATGTGCTCACATGCAGATGAAACGAATGGCACAAAATTCGGTATGTGCTGCTGATGGAGTTTCGGCGTGCTAACGGTACACACAGTATCCCTATCCCTCTGCTGCTGCTGCTGCTGTACGCTACGCATCGTGTGTATTTGCTGTTGGTGTGCTGCCGTTATTGCTTGCATCACGCTACTGGCGTATGCTATCCACTGTGTGCACTCCAGAGTACACCATATCAGCATCTCGATTCTCATCGCCCCAAACATACACACTAAACGACGGCTAGCTTCGATTCGTCTTGTTTGGCGCGATACATACAGCACAGGAGGCACTTCTTCGCTCTGCCATCCGTTGCTATCATCAGTTAGCAGTTAGTTGATTTCTGTTGGTTGCCGATGATGGTAACGATTTAGCATAACTGCTGCAACTGCTGTGTATTATTGGGCATCATTTTTAAAATCATCCCAAGCAAATTTGCGCCCGCACACCGAACTGAAGCGCGAAAATCCAAAGAAAAAATCAACCGTTACTTTCAATCAGTGAGAACACAGTGAGAGTGTTTTGTGTGTTCGATTGTGACGGCCGTTTAAGTCCATCCAAAAGAAAATTATTCCGAGCTTTTTGTTTCAATAACAACAACAACACAAAAACAAGAACAAGAACAAGAACAAAGAAAAAGTAAAGTAGAAAACAATAGTAGCAAAATCGTGATAACAGCGTAGTGCTTTTCGAATTTTCCTCACTTTTCCGCACGATTGTCATTGCATCACGGCACACAAATAACAAAACATTCACGCTGTAATTGTCTTGGACGCAAACAATAAAATTTATTGTTTCGAGCGAAAAAAAGGAGATAATTTTGTCGCTGTGTTACAACAAAAGAGAAGGAGTAGAAGCAAAGATCTATCTTTGAAAAAAAATACTTGGCAAGATATCAGGTACAAGAGTGGCAGCAATACGATCGATTCGATCGTTTTTATCAACAATTCCCGCTGTTTTGTGCGTATGAACTAATGAACTAAAGTTTGATTCAAAATCAGAGAAAAAACTGTGTCAACAAAATCAATCAATCAACAACAAAAGCGATCAAGTTTTTAAACATTGAGTCCGTCATTCAATTGAATTTTCACGGTTTTATTCCATTTTTGCCATGCAATTTACTAACTGTTAATATCTAACAAATATTTTCACATTAAATATAAATTATACTAAATAAGTAAGTTCAACATTTTTACAACATTTGCACAACAGGGCACTTGCCAAATCAAATATCCCATACCACCAGAAATTTGTAACATCACAAAGGCGAAATAAAGCGACGAAGGAGAAAAAAGCCAGTTGGTTATTGTCAAAGTGTAAAATCTAAATTCAGTGCCATGTGCCAGGAGAAAAATAAAATGTGTTGAACAGTTGAACGTGTAAGTGCTGAAAATTGTGTGTGTTTATCGAAAGAGAGGTAGAGAAAAAAGAGAATAAAATGCAAAAACTGAAAATAGCTTATGGGCGGAAAAGGTGCATTCAATAGAGTCGTTAAGCAGGATCACCAGTTATTTATTTCGTGCAGTTCGATAACGCTATTCGGTGAGAGAGAGAAAAAAAGGATAAACTCCTGAAAGAACAATAAAAGTCAAAAACACCCGAAAAAAGCCGAGATAGAGAGAGCGAGAACAGAACAGAAAGCACAACAATACACACGTCAGTATCTAGGAGCAAGAGAAAGAGAGCGATTAAATAAAAACCGTCAAATAGCGACGATCAAAAAGACCGAAACTCTATGGGAAAACAGTTAATGTAATCTCTTGTGGAAAATAAAATTTAATGAACTGAATATTTTTGTGCTGAGTGAATTTGATATCGAAAGAGACAAAAACGAATCGGAATCCAAGGCAGGGTAATACCCGAGCAGTACACACACAACAAAAAACAATTCAAAACAAAAACCGAGAACAAAGAGAAAAAAAAAAAAATAACGAAAACACGAACAACGACAACAATAAAACCAAAAACAAAACATGAACAGGCAAAAATGGATTTTGATTGAATTATTAAAGGTTTGTTAAATTTCGCAGCAGCCAAAAGCAGTGGCGAACGGTAACAGTAGCACTCAATTCAATAATAAACAAAACACATTTATACGAACTGCGAGAGCGAGATTTGTGTCTCTCTTAAAACGCAACGCAACACAACATACACATACAATCCGGAGGACCATTTTGACGGAGTAATCCAGTGTGAGTCTTTCACTTTATTTGTTCCTCTTATTTTTTCCTTTCGTTCTTTTCTTTTTATTTTGGTGTATTAGCATTTGATCGGTTATATTGTCGTGTCGGTTGTACTATAGTATTGCAGTAAAATAGAAAAGCCAGAAGCGCGACCATGACCGAAAGCATGAAACGAACGATTTTACTTCGACACTTCAAGTGTTTCATGCGAGCCCGAGTACTGTTGCTGTGCATATGTGACTTTTACATGCTTATTATTCCAACTTCAATGGCAAAATAAGAATCAAACTAAAATCATTCGAAATGTTCGTAAGTGTTCAAGGAGTCTAAAGACACGGAGAGAGCGTGTATGTGTGTGTGTGTGTGATAGCGTGCGCTTGTATCACGTTTTGTGAACCGTTGATCCGGTTGTTATTGAAAGTGGCTGACTGAGGAAAAAATAACAGAAGCAAGAAAAAAATAAATAATAATAACAGTAATAACAGCTATACTATCAACAGCAGCAAAATTGCATTTGCCATCGAGAGAAATGGAGAGACTAGCACACACACACACCTTGTTGTTGGCGCAATGTTAAATCGAAACGAGACAAGACGAATCGAGTATGTACACATCACAACTGTACGGACATTGGGGCGTTTATGCGAGAGATGAGAGCTTTGGAGAGAGAGAGAGAGAGAATGAGTGAATCGGGCGAAAGTCATTTGAATGATCGGGTAATACTAGTTGAGAAATTGATGTTGTAAGCCCGAAGATATATGGGTACGCACTTTGGCATGAGGTGTCAAAGTCATTCGCTCATAGCGAACACATCGCTCGAAAGTACTTGATGTTTGTGTGTCTCCGTGTGCGTGTTTGTGTGTGTGAATTTGTTGCACGACCGAAAGTAGCTCCACTTTTCAATTTGCCCAGAATCTGCAAAGACAGAGACAAACCTTTATTGAGTATAAAGGTGTAATCACGTCGCAATAAACACTCGCATTTTAACTCACATATACACAGTGGCACAGAGAAGACAGAAGTTTAGCCGTACTGCAGCCACACGTATTTATTTGTATAAGCGTCAAACTCAGAACCAAGTAAATTCTCACACATATTTTCTGTTAAACAAACACTTAATTTCATTTTATCGAAAAGGCATTGGTGGAGAGGAAGAGCGAGAGAACGGGAGAGATACAGCGAGTATAGCACATAAAAATGTAAGAAATGGCTTTTTACACCACATCGAAACCGAAAATTCATATGAATGCACAATGGAATACAATCGACGACACACACACACACACAATTGCCATTTCCATTGCAACTGATATCGTCACGGCCACCACTTGACACACCATCACACTTATTGTCAATTGCTTTTTGGATACATGTATTGTGCACACGCCGGCCTTTTGAATAACGTCGTTCCAAACCATTGCACGTACTGGAACTGAGAGCAAGAAGAGAACGAATGAAGAAAAAAAAATTAGACACACACACACACACACACACATCCACATGCGAAGCACAAACGAACGAAAGACAGTAATAAATGTAGAAGCTAAAGCGAAAAGAAAGGTACGGTATCGGAGTACGTTACAATAAGAGGTGACACACATTCGGAAGTGAAACCAATGTGATGCGCGTTTCACGTTTCCATTCGCGAATCGTATAATATCGTGCACCTTTAACAATATCACCATAAAATTGACTTGTGCTATATGTATTTTGTGCCGCATGAACCATGTTATTTTCACCAACTTGATATTTTTTTCCACTGCCACCTCTTCTCACTTCTTGTTCTTTGTGTCCTCGTTATGATCATCTGTTACACTTTTTTTTTCCTGCCGTTGTTATCCTGCGCTCGTGCTTTTTATTCATTGCCGCTACTTTCAATCGGCAAGCGTGACATATTCATTCGTTTCAAATTTCGTTTGCATTTTCTTCTTGGCAAGAGCGTAGAAAGCCTTCCTTCGACGATTGAACCGATGATTGAACCAACGAAAGAACGAACGAACGGGAAACTCATCTGAATGTGGTGTTTTTAACAAATCAATGCGACAGCCAGTCTGTGCGTATATGCAAATGTATGTCATCAGAATCATCGTGTCGCATACTGTGGAGAGCGAGAGAGTGTGTGAGAGAAAAAAGAAGGCAAGACGAAAAGAAGCACAAAGCCATCAATCGTTGTGGCGCAAATACAGCCGACAAGCAGCAAGACGCACACAGGGACAGAGAGAAAGAATGAAGCGAGAAAAAATTACGAGGCGAGGATGAAGATAAAGAAAAATGTGTGCCTGCGGTACAAAACAAAATAAATATGTAGATAAATTTTTTGATTTGTTGACAAATTGGTTTATAAGTATTTGCTTTTTTCATGCCACATTTGTTTCGCGACAACACATTTATACTGCACTCATTTGGAAAGGGAAACGGGCGAGCGGTGAACGTGAGCGAACAAGCGACAAACACAATCGACCGTGGGCACATGCACAAAGCGACAAACATTGTGTACGAAATTTTTACATTAAACATTATACATGCCATTATTGTTGTCATTACATGCACACAAGTACAGCGTACACAAGTACTACTACTCCTGGAAAGTACTCACCCGAGAGTTAAGCGTTTGTTCGCAAAATTTTCAAGACATGAAATTATTCGGTAATTTATTTCTGGAACAAGACAGTCGATGCGAATGCAAACGGTAAGCACAATAAAAACGGCACAGAGATAGACGAGAAAACGACGAAAAAAGAGACAGAAAATGGCATGTAAACACGACGAATTCGACGAATGAAAATTCGCTCTGAAGCACTTACCAAAAAATTTGGTGTTCAGTGTAGCTTAAAAGGTGCTCAGTACGAGGATTTTTTTTCCCGCAGGTTGTCATTTTTATTGTTGTTAATATGCTCGCCTTTTTTTCTCACTCTCCCCATCGCTCTCTCACTCTCTCTCTCTCTCTCTCTCTCTCTCTCTCTCTCTCTCTCTCCCGCTTGCTGTTCCAAAAGTTTGCATTTGTCTGGGGGGATTCTGTATTTTTTGTAAATTTTTGTGTGTGTGTCTGTTCCCTTCTTCGTCGGTGTATTTTGATTCTGCATAAATCAGAAAAGTAAATCCAAAAAAGCTCGCTAGCATGTGGACGAATGGCCGGATGAAAATAGAACTTAGCGAGCTAATTAGATCTTGTGCGAATGTTTTCCATCTTCATAAATTTTATTCAATTTTTAGATGGGTTCGCTCGTTAGGGCCGGGTCGCGCAAACGTTGAAGCGTTATATATGTTAAAATACGACCGAGAAGCAGGAGCAGCGTCACCAAATGCGGATATTTCACGATTCAGCTACATCATACAATGACGCCGTTGCCATTGATGCAGCAAAAAGGTGTGCTAATGAAGCTAGAAGTTTTTTATGGCAGCGCAATTAGACAGTGCTAAATTTGTGTTGGCATCATTTTGTCGTTGTCTCCGTCTATTTGAATAAAGCTGCCATTCAAATAATTACTGCAAATCATAAAATTTGAAGGGGAAAAAATGTTCTCAGCGACGCGTCCAAATCCGTGCGCCCATCCGCTCATTCGCTGCACTTTTAATTCGATGACCTATCCTATCATTTAAAGCGAAATGGAACGGAGCACACACGAAAAAAAAAATTAAACTCAAACCATTTAAATAAATGTTTTGTAAACGAACGATAAATTCGACATTCATTGAGTCAACAGAGGGACAGAGACAGAGAGAGAGAAAAAGTAGAACAGAAAAAAGCAGCACCATCCAAAAACAAATCATGTTACTACAAGTTCGACAAATTCAACGATTCAACTCAATAAATATTCCATGAACTGAAGCGAATAAATAACAACAAATCAAAGTGATAAGATGCAAAATTGCTGTAGCCCGTAGGTAAACCTTTCTCTCGTTCGGTCGTTTGCTCGTTCTGGCCTGCTTTCATTCGTTCTCGATGCGATAGTTGCAAAGTTAAGTTGAAAAATTGAAAATTCACATTTGCTTTTATAATCGTTTGCCGTCAGAGTTTCTCGCTAAAAATCTTCGATCGTTTTTCCGATTCTGTGCGCTCGGGCACACATAAAAAAAAAAGTTTAACTGCATCCAACTATGTGAGACAAATGCTATGGTGATCATAATTTTACTCCCATTTGCTTTTGCCATTGCTTTTGCCTCGTGCTGCTGTCGTTCATTTTCCATTTTATTAACCAATTCGCATAGACTTTAGTCGAAGTGTATGTATCATTCATAGGGATGTGTATATGTATGTAGGAAGAGCGAGGTAGCGAGAAGCATTCAACACTGGTTTCGAATGTACTTTTAAAATTTTTGCAAACGATATGCAAACTGTTTTTTATTGCAGTTTTTCGCCCTCTCCGTACGCCGCGCACTGCACGACAGAAAGAAATAAAAAGTAAAATTCGATACGTTCAAAGTTTGTTCGATTTCGTTTTGGGTCGCATTTTTTTTCACTCTGTGATTCTGGCTTTTTCGTCAATTTTCTCCCGTCTTCAATGTTCCGTATGGGAGAGAAGCGATGGGAATGGGAAGGCGTTTTGAGCACAGGCAGAGGAAAAATGAACCGGGAGTGCAACAAAAGAAAGAAGTCAACGTTTAATAAACTCGCTCTCAACAACAATGTCCGCCGTAAATGGGCGGGAAAAAATTTACCTTAACTTAAACAATAAATTTAAATCACTTCGATTTATTCCACGGTAAGATTCACCTGAATACACACTTCTCTTAGCTATGAATGCTGCTGGTGGTGTGTTGATGCTGCCGGATGATGATAGCATTCGATGTGCTCGCGTTGCACGCATTCAATTCCAAAAATGTTAGAGCAACAGCAGAAGTAAAAGCCATTGAATCGTTAAACAGCATGCAAATGTATGGCAATGGAAGGCAAAACACAGAGAGAGAGAGAGATGAAGAAAAAAAGCTCATTCAAATTTTACAGTTTTGTGCGATGACATACGCATGAATATTTTTGTTCGCCGAAATACTTTTATTTCGTTTTGCTC